ATGATTATATACCACTGCCCACCCCCACTGTCTGCCACTATTGCTTCCATTTAAAAGATACATAGTTAAGGAGTGGAAGAATCTACTTGAAATCCTTTTGAGTTTTTTGAGTTGTGACTTTCTCCTTAGATGTTTCAGTGTGCCTTTGGTGTCTGCCCTTGAACCGAACTTGCCTGCTCTTGGCTTGCCTGGTCTCATTCAACCACAGTTTGGTTTCCTTCATCATATTTAAATCATATTTATATGTATGTATGTGTATATTTGTTTAATTTGTACCCCAGTTTCTCCTCAGTGGGGGATCCAAATTGGCTTACAAAATTCTTCTTTTCTTAATTTTATCCTCACAAAAACCCCATGAAGTAGGTTAGTCTGAGAGTATGTGACTGATCTGAGGTCACCCAGCAAGCTTCCATGGCAGAGCCAAGATCTGAACCTGGGTCTTCCAGATCCCAGTCTGACACTGTAACTACTACACCAGGGGTGTCAAACTCATTTGTTATTAGGGCCGGATCTGACATAAATGAGACTTTGTTGGGCCGGGCCACATGTGTCATAAAATGTAATGCCAGGTAGCAGAGATATAAACTTTATAAAAGACACAAACATAAAGGTGTGGGTTTTTTTACTTAAAATAAAAATATGCTTAAAATGTTAGCACTCTTGCAATATTTTGTTTATTTAACAGTGTCTGATAACTGACACCTCTTGCTCTGAATTACTGCATCAAAATGTCTGTGCTGTTGCAGTCTTGAATATGCTGTTCAGGTGTGTATCTGTAAGCTGCAAACCTACGATGACGCAGCAGAACTGGAAGAAGAAGCAGAAGACAGCCAGTTCCACTGCGGGCCTGATAGAAGCCCTCCGGGGGCCTGATCCAGCCCCCAGGCCGCATGTTTGACACCTCTGCACTACATGTTTGGCACCTCTGCTGGATTGTTAAGGATTTGCTCTAAAGCAGGGTGTGAAGTCATGGTTTAAGTGGATTTGCAAACAGTGCGTAAACATCAGATATGTACCAAGCAAACCATGGCTGGCAGGTTCTCAACTTCTCCAGTGCCTTGTCTTGATAAACAGCCTTTGCTAGGGTCTCCCTGTATACTGACTCGGAGAGACAAAGAAGAAGAGTTGGTTTTATACCCCTGAGGGAGTCTTGGAGTAGCTTACAATTGCCTTCCGCTCCCCGCAACAGACACCCTGTGAGGCAGGTGGGGCTGAGAGAGCTCTGAGAGCACTGTGACTGACCCAAGGTCATCCAGCTGGCTTCTTGTGGAGGAGTGGGGAATCAAACCCGGTTCCCCAGATTAGAGTCCACCACTCTCCATAACCATTACACCAAGCAGTGCGATGAAGTAGTTCAAGCGCTGAGCTAGGCCAGGGGAGACCAGAGTTCAGTCCCCAGTTAACTGTAAACCAGAATGGGTGACCTTGGGCCAGTCATGCTTTTTCATTTTTAACCTACCTCACAGGTATCTGAGGAAGTGAAGCAGTGACTCATGAAAGTTCCTCCCCTGCCACAACTTTTGCTAGTCTTTAAGGTGCTACCGGACTCTTGCTCTTTTCTACTGCCTCACAGGGTTGTTGTGAGGATAAAATTGGGAAGAAGAACTATTTCCGCTGGTCTGAGGTGTTTGGAGGAAAGATGGGATAAAGCCTGATGGTGCCAGATCTCAGAAGCTATGAATAAAGAAATAACCCCATCAAGGTGTCTATCCCAATATTTCATACAACAATGAAGGGATTTAGGAAGCCAGATTGTATGAATTATTAGTAAGCACCAAAAATTATCTTACACACTAGAAATTGAAGTCCAGTCAAAGAGGGGGGGAAACACATAATCTGTATGTATCTTTACAAGCCAGCCAGAAATAAGACTTCAATACAAACTATTTTTTTACATCAATCTTTATAACTCACTAGAAATAATGCCCGTTGCGGAAATAAATACACTGGGATCTAGAAAGAGGCTCTGGGAGAGTGCTCTGGCTTTGGGCAAACAGTGTCAGTCTGCTTTTAAAACATGAACCTGGGACCTGCACACCACCAGAATACAGCAGGTTCCATATGCAACTGACATTCCAACTGCCTTGCGGGGGGGGGGGGGTTTGAGGTGTGGAATGGAGTGAAGTCCAATCAGCTTCCATATGCAAAATACCAGGTTGTCGCAGCAGTTGTGGTGTGGGCGGGACCCGGGCTTTGCCTTCTGATTGGTGGCGATATATGCTGAGGAGCAGTGCCATCAGCCATACACTAAGGGAGTGCATTTTAGAATTAGAACTTTGGCACCCACTATTCAATTATATATAAGGAGAGATACAATTGAACAAAAGGCCTTGCTAAAGAATTGCCGTGAGGAGCAGCCCTCCTTTTGAGTAGCATTATTTCTTTATTCACAGTTGTTTCTCAGTCTGTTGTGGTTAGGCCTCAGAAGCTAAGCAGGGTCGGCCCTGCTTAGTATTGAATGGGAGAGGCAGGCAATGGCGAACCGCCTCTGTTTCTCATCTCGAAGGTCCTGCAGGGTCACCATAAGTCGGCAGTTACTTGACTGACACTTTCCTCCACCACCATGGTTCCACTGTGCATTTGGGACATGATACACGATTAGTGTCCGGGGTCACCGCCATCGCCGGACTTCTGCAGTGACCCAGCGAGCTGAGGGCTTCTCGAAGTGGGCCCCAACGCTCAACCTTACCTGGGTGGAGGTGGCTGAGTTTGGAGAGGCCCGGGTGGATGCCAGAGGCTGTTGATGGGCTGGCGCATGGGCAGAAGATGGGAGAGAGGGGGTGGAAGAGGTTGGGGCGGATGCCGGATTCCCCGGGGGCTCTGACGGAGGCATCAGGAGGACCCCGCGAGATCTTACAGCCAGGGCCCGATTCCAGAGCACCGATCCTTGCCCGGGCAGAGACCCTGCTGCGCCACTCCTTCCAGAAAGCAGACACAGACATCTCGGCCACTTGGGTCAAGGCCTCGCTACAGGCAGGGTGGCCCCGGCAGATGCCAAAAGTTGGGTGGTGAGAAGGGACTAGGAAGGCAGCTACTGGGGAGGGTAGCCAATAGTGGTGGGCTCTGCCTGAAGGACAGGCCTCTGGGCCAACGGGAGGAAGGGATGAGGGAAACAGGAGGGCGGTGGGAGGTTCAAAAGGGGGACCCCAAACGACAAGCAGGGGATGATGTGTGAGCTGGATATTCCAAGCTAGCTGGCTACGATCTTCCAGTGGGAGGGGGAGGAACAGGGTGAGACTAACCCCCTTCCCTCCATCACGCTCCCCCCCCCATCACACCGCAATGCCATGGCCAAGGGTAGCACGGCACATTGGGGCGCAGTCTGAGCGTGACAATTAGCATGTACCTGGTTTGTTAACTGTCTGCTAGTTCAATGCTGTGTTTCTTACAGCCAGCTATAGAGGACAGGCTATGCCTTCTTTTGGAGACCAGGTTTTTCTCCATAGAATTAACTGTAGCTGTATAAACCAATAACCTTAATAAAGTTATTTACCCCCTTTTGCCTACAAATGTTTGACTTTAATATTGTTATGTAATCCTGTCACTGGACCTTTTTTTTGGTCAAATTCAAAAAAGCTCCCTTGTGATCCGATGTAGATGATTTTTATTATTCTTTTGGTATCTTTCCAGTGCCGATGAGGTAATTTTAAATATGCATACGTACATAAAAACAAATGTATGCTTTCTTTCCCCAGCTTCTAAGTACCGATCTTGATTTTGCTTCAATATAGAGGGGAGGTCAGTTTTTAGAGCACACCGATGTATTTGTGCATTTTATTAACCTTCCTTTATTTTGTTATGAGTTATAATTAATCATAGCTTCAATATATAGCAACAGTATATCTGGATACTAAACGTTAAGGACAAAGAACAGGGGAAGCCATCGTTTTCATGCCCTGCTTGTGAGCTTTCCAAGAAGAAGCTTCTGTGAGAACTGGAGTGACGTAGTGGTTAAAGTTTTACACCGAGATTGAGGAGACCTTGGGTTCTAATCTTGACTTGACCATGAAGATCTTCTGCAGTGCAATCCCAAATGGAAAGACACTCTTTGAAGTCCATGGAATTCAATGGACTTGCCAGGGTATAATTCTGTATGGGATTACATTGTTGATGATCTTGGGACAGTTATGAGAGCCAGTTTGGTGTAGTGGTTAAGTGTGCGGACTCTGATCTGGGAGAACTGGGTTTGATTCCCTACTCCTCCACTTGCAGCTGCTGGTGTGACCTTGGGTCAGTCACAAGTTCTCTCAGAGCTGTTCTCTCAAGGGCAGTTCTCGAAAAGAGCTCTCTCAGCCCCACCTACCCCACAAGGTGTCTGTTGTGGGGAGGGGAAGGGAAAGGGATTGTAAGCCACTCTGAGACTCCTTTGGGTAGTGAAGGGCAGGGTATAAATCCAATCTCTTCTTCTTCTATTTTCCATGAGCCCACACAAGATTGGTGTGAGGATAGAGTGGAGGAGGGAAAACCTCCTTGTATGCTCTGAGCTCCTCAGGTATGACCTTGGGTCAGTCATAAATTCTTTCAGAGCTGTTCTCTCAAGGGTGTCTGTTGTGGGGAGGGGAAAGGAAAGGGATTGTAAGCTGTTCTGAGACTCCTTCGGGTAGTGAAGGGTGGGGTATAAATCCAGTCTCCTCCTCCTCAGTGCTGGGATAGAAATTTAAATAGGATTTTAATTTAATTGATCTATTTTGGATTTTAGTTTTTATACTTTATTTTATTTTTGTATTATCACTAATTCACTGGCTATTATTGTGAATTGATAATGTTGCTGGCTTTTGCCGTAATAAATGATTGATTGATTGAATTTAAAGGATTTTCTTCAGCATAATCCCACAAGGATGTGTTCAGTATATTTTCAGAAACAAGCACTACATCTGGACCGAGAAAATGATTCTAATGGAATGTTCAATGGTGTCTTGATACATTTGTGTATTATTATTATTATTATTATTATTATTATTATTATTATTTAATGGTATGCTTTTATCATTTTAGGTCAGGAAAGGTTCGGCAACATGACCCGGGTGTATTATCGAGAGGCGATGGGAGCGTTTATCGTCTTCGACGTGACGAGGCCGGCGACTTTTGAAGCGGTTACCAAATGGAAAGAGGATTTAGACACTAAGCTGACTCTCCCCAATGGCAATCCCGTGCCGACGGTTCTCTTGGCAAACAAATGCGATCAGGGCAAAGAGCTCCTTGTGAACAACGGCATGAAGATAGAGCAGTTTTGCACGGAGAATGGCTTCGTGGGATGGTTTGAAACTTCGGCAAAGGTAAGGGCCCTTGCGGTATTTTACTTATTTACTTAAAATATTCGTGTCTTGCTTTTCTGCTGCAGTTGTAATCAGAAGTGGCCGATAGGCAAACAGTATTGCCCTGACACTGAGGGAATCCAGGAAGAAGATGTTTCAGAGGGCAGCCATTTTGGTCTTCAGTAGAACAGTTAGATTCAAGTTCAGTAGAGACCAACAAAGTTTTGGGGGTAGAAGCTTTTGAGAGTCAAAGCTCCCTTTGTCAGACAACAAGATGATGTTATCTTGCTGGTCTGAGGGAACTTCTGAGGTAAGAAAATGAGCAGGTTCCTTAAGCAGTCCGTTTCTGGAACTGCAGCTGTGGTTGATGGCATCTATGGAGCCCAGTTTGAGGCCTAACTGCCATGGCTACTCATTCTGTTGCCCCCTCAGCAGTGGTGGTGGCAGGAAGAGGATGTCCTGGTGGAAAGGTGTTCTTCAGAATCTTTTCCTCATGTTCACAGAAACCCACAAAGGTGGCCAAGTCATCTTGGTGTCCTCTGACTGGCAGCACCTCTCAAGCAGAGAAGGGTCTTTCCCAACATCTGCCTCCTGGGGTGGTTGATGGCATCTAAGGAGCCCAGTTTGAGGCCCAACTGCCATGGCTACTCATTCTGTTGCCCCCTCGGCAGTGGTGGTGGCAGGAAGAGGATGTCCTGGTGGAAAGGTGTTCTTCAGAATCTTTTCCTCATGTTCACAGAAACCCACAAAGGTGCCCAAGTCAGCTTGGTGTCCTCTGACTGGCAGCACCCCTCAAGCAGAGAAGGGTCTTTCCAAACATCTGCTTCCTGGAACCCACTGTAGATGCCAGGGATTGAACCTGGGTCCATTGGTATGCCAAGCATGTGTTCCAACAGTGAGCCACAGCCCCTCCTTCAAGGTCTGAATCCGTATGAAACTTCCTTATATGCCAAATGAGACTCTTGGCTCTTCTCACTAACTGTTGACTGTTCTGATCAGAAGGAACTCTTTGAGGTCTCGGGGAGCCTCATGAGAACATAAGAAGTGCCCTGCTGAACCAGACCAGTGGTCCATATAGTCCAACATCCTTTTTTACACAGTAGCCAACTAGGGCTAGCAGGCCCCCCCCCAGCCGTACCCCCCTCCACTGATCAGCTGGCCAGTGTGGGGGGGGGGACTTACCAGGAGCAGGGGGAGGCCTAGCCCTGTGTCTCAGTGACATTGCCAGCAATGCGGTGACATTCCTTCCAGGGCACTCTGGAAGTGACATCATTACTGTGCCATGAAGTTCAGTGGGTAACTGTCAAACTCGCTCTACATTTTATTGCTCGCTTGCCATAGTAACCGGGAGGTGGATAGGAGAGTGTGAACGCCACATTCACTTTTAAATGCTTTGAAGTAGACTACTGCTTATTGTGCCTGGGAACATCCACGGCCTTGGGTCTCATCTTACGATGTCTGGCTTTGGTCTGTAGGTTGGGGGAATGTCACGAAGGTGGGAAAACATAGCTGTTGGTTTGAGCAGGTAGAATACCTGGGGGCCCTTGTTTGAACCTTGTATATCTATTGCTTTTGCGCTTCCATCTTCAGTTCTAATGCAGCCAGTGTACAGGCTGGATCCTATCAATGTCTCAATAAACTTATCCTTCATTGAAGTGAATGGTGTTGAGAACTGGTTTCTCCAAGAGTCTGACCATAACTTTGGGCCAGCCTCCCCATATAATTTTTCAGCTTAATCTATCTCAAAAGGCTGTTGCAAAGAAAAGAAAAACAAGGGTGGATAGAAACATGTATGCTCCCTAGAATTCCTTTTTTTGGGGGGGGGTTTGTATTTTTCATATGTGTGTGTGTGTGTGTGTGTGTACACCTGGAAGTCATGGCGACCTCTGGTGACTGACCCCTCCTGGGGGTCTGGAGGATATTCAGAGAGGTGGCTGGATAAAGCCTGCCCCCGCTTTCCAACTGATCGTACTGTTGTTTACATCAGTATTGGCTTTCAGCTTTTGGATCAGGCCACCGAGAATTGGAACTGTGTTTCCTAATGTTGTTAAGTGTGTGTGTTGAAATGCCTCCAGACTAGGTCAGAGTGAGCCTGTAAATTAACTGCAATTATTTTGTTTTAATCCTAATTACAACAAAATCCCAATTACATCCTAAATAATTACAATTTGGCCTATGACAAATTGAAATTAGCTACAGAATTCAGGAAAAAAATGGAAATTCTTCTTCATTTACAGAGGAACCAATCTTTTTTTTTCCCCTCATGAGCTGGATTCTCCATCCCAACCCAAAAATTGGCCTCAACCCAATAAAACTGATTGGCGGCACAGTATAAAATAGGAAGTTCAAAAAAAAATACATTTAATTGATAGAATTCATTGCTGCAAAATGTCACACATCTATTCCAATTCTTATTCCCACCTTTCTCCAGGAATCTCAAGACAGTATACATAGGGTTGCCAATCTCCAGGCAGCACCTGGAGATCTCCTGCTATTACAACTGATCTCCAGATGACTAAGAACAGTTGCCCTGGAGAAAATGGCTGCTTTGGAGGGTGGACTCGATGGACTTATACCCTGCTGACTAGAGATGTAAAATTTCCAGAAATTTTGAAGCTCGGAAAAAAAGCCGTTTACAATCTCCCTTCCCTTCCCCTCCCCACAACAGACACCCAGTGAGGTAGGTGGGGCTGAGAGAGCTCTTTCGAGGACTACTCATGAGAAAACAGCTCTGAAACAACTTGTAACTCATCCAAGGTCACACCAGCAGCTGCATGTGGAGAAGTGGGGAATCAAACCCGGTTCTCCCAGATTAGAGTCCACACTCCTAACTACTATATGGGGAGAGGTTGCTCTCAAGGTCAAGACTACAGACAGTTTGTAGATGTTAGATTAACATTCATTTAAAAGGCCTAAGCAGCTTATAGTTCTGAGTTTCAGACATCTAAGGGGACCGCACTTTAAAGTCACGTAGTGCTTCCATACACAACCCTACCCCCCCATCCCTCACCAGTGGTTGGAATCCTCCAGTGTTTTGTGGTTTGAGTTACCTCCTACGGCAGCCATTTTGGTGTGACGCCCACTGCTTCTTCTCAAAGTTCCAAAATGCCCACAGGTTCAACAAGGCAGGGGGACCCCCCCAAAAAAACACACGACACCACACTGGTTGCGATCTCAGATGGCTTTTCTTCAGACAAGATGCCTACTAGTTTGGCTTTCCCATAATCATTAAACATGGAGCTCATTTGCCAAAAGATCAACGAGGGGTTCAAAGTAGAGACAGTGGGCTTCTGTAGAAAAGGATTTATTAAGTAGTTTGAACTACAAAGGGATCCTTACCCAGATAACTGAAATTAGGGTCTCCAAAGTTTTAACAGACACACACCATGCATTATATAGTATCATCTTTCGTCTCCAGTTATCCCGTGAACTACTCACTGTGTTTTCATTCACATTTACCAATTACATTTCTTTAATGCACATTTCACCACTTAATTATAATGGCACACTAATCCTAAAGATAACAGGCATTTACTCAATGGTAAGCAACTGTTAGTGGTTCTGTCTTCATGTTCTAACTGCTGTATCTTCTCTCTGAGGCTAGGCTCAGGACAGACATCACCAGACAATTGTTTTATCTTACGAGCACAGCACTAGATCTAGAAGAAGACGAGCTGGTTTTTATATCCCGCTTTTCACCACTCAAAGGAGTCTCAGAGCGACTTACAATCGCCTTCCCTTCCTCTCCCCACAACAGACACCCTATGAGGTAGGTGGGGCTGAGAGAACTCTGTGAGAACTGTGACTGACCCAAGGTCACCCAGCTGGCTTCATGTGGAGGAGTGGGGAATCAAACCCGGTTCTCCAGAGTAGAGGCCAGCGCTCCTAACCAATGTTCCCTCTAAGCCGTGGAGTCTTGTGAGCAAAAATGTCTACTTTGTGAGCGACTGGCATTAAAGTTGTGAGTGAGTGATTTGGCTACTGCATAAATTAGTTTGCTCGGGAGCCCTCCTTCCTGAGCTAGGACAGAAATGTGTGAGCTGGAGGCTAAAAAATGGTGAGCTAGCTCACACTAACTCAGCTTAGAGGGAACATTGCTCCTAACTGCTACACCACACTGACTCTACTTGAAGCAGGCATGTACATTCTTAACATAGCATCTCTTACATGATGTTAGCAGCATTTATGACAGTAACAGAATTCAGGCAGAGTTCAGGAATTTAGGGCATACGAAGATTTTAGGTGTAAAGGCACACGAAATGGAGTTGCTTTTGCTTTGTCAATCTGTTGATGGATTTTGGCTTAGATGGCTTTAAAAAAAAAAGAATTGAACGCATCATAGGATACTGTATTTTATTAATGGTTTTAATTGTTTCTAATGGTTTTAATTGTTTCTAATTCTTCGTATATTGCTTACCGTATCTGATGGAACCTGCCCTGAGCCTGCTATGCAGGGAGGGCGGGATACACATCAAATCAAATAAAAATAAATAAACATCTGTGCTAGAAACCCTGATAATAGGAACAGAACCTCCAGGTTTAGAAGCAGCCTAGCTGATTGTCTGAGCGGGGGGGGGGCAGTGGATATTGCTCTCGCTTTCAGGGTCTGCTTACATCCAGCTGTTCACTGTTAGTTATTCTGATTTCCAGCTATATTTCACTAAAGCAGTTCAAAGGAGGCCGTGGTGTTTCATGCGGTATCTCTGTGTAATTAGCTCTCTGGAGAGGGAATGAAAATTTACTTGAAGGAACCTCTTGCAGCTTTTGAACTGAATGCAACATATTGGCAGAGATCAGCTCTAGACAGACGTGCTGAATCTTAGCTAGTTTATGACTGCCTTCTAGCTTGGCTTGATGTTTTCCTGGGTAAATGTGACTGCTGCCATTCGTAGTAGGAAAGAGGGGACTGATAGCGTGAGAGGTGTTAAAAAAAGGTAAAGGTTTCCTTTGCTCGAAAGCCAGTCGAATTCGACTCTAGGAGGCGGTGCTAATCTCCATTTCCAAGTCGAAGAGCCAGCGCT